ATTGTGATAAACTGTGGTCAATGTCATGAGACAAAGTATATGTGAACTGCTGTATGGAAAGTGAATTTGCTCTGTAAATCTTCACCCAAATCACAATAATAAACAAACAAACAAACAAAGAATGTTCAAAGTAGTCTTACTAATAGCCAAAAATTAGAAATAGCCCAGGTGTCCATTAACAAGTAACTGGATAAACAGTTGTGGTATATTCGTGCAACAGAATACTACTCAGTAATATAAAGGAAGAAAATACTAGTACATAAAACAACATGGATGACTGTCCTAGATAGACATGCTATGTGAGAGAAGCCAGACACAAATAATCATACTGTATGACTCCATTTTTATGACTTTCAAAAACAGATAGAATTGTTCACTTGTCATAGAAGTCAGCTTTGGGCTAAAAACAAAAAAACCCACTGCCACTGAGTCGATTCAAATACAAAGCAATCCTGTTGGGTTTCTGTGGATATAAATCTTTACAGAAGTACATTGTCTTTCTTCCTTGGAGTAGCTGGTAGATTTGAACCACCAACCTTCTGGTTAGCAAGCAAATGCCTTATCCTTTATGCTAACAGAAGCTTTGGGCTAGGAGTTGTAATTGCCTGGAAAAGAGGGTTCAGTAGTCTTTCTAGATGATAAAAATGTTCTGTCTTGTTTAGAGTAGCAGTTACATGGATTGGCAAAATTCTTTAAATTAAATATTTGCAAGGGGCCTTTATGTCCTATGTAATGACAAATTGGTAAATGTTATCCTCTTTTTCTTGACAAGGTGGAAGAGGGTCCAGAGTATGAAGAACTCATCACTCTTCATGACTCAGTTTATCAGCAGTCAGTTTCCTGGTTTAATTCTCTTCAGGGTGACGTGAGAAAGCAAATTATAGAAAATTTTGGGTTAATGCCAGGCAAGAAATCTGAGCCACAGGTACCCTCTTCTCTTTCCTTCTGTGATACTATTATTTCCTGCTGCAAGGTGCTAAGAAACATTATTCTGATGGGAAATTTGGCAGTGCTATGTTTTATACTCCATTATGATGGTTTATGAACTGATATATCTATTAACAGCCTAAAGAAAAACTTAAAAAAGTAGCATGTGCCTTTTGGAACAAAACTTTTAAGTATTTTCTAATAGTATATAAGGATAATTTATTTTCTATCAAAAATTTATTCTGAGTGACTATTGACTTTTTTACTTTATCTCACTAACATCGTAAGAAGATTTAAATGGTAATTTTAGTGTGTTGGCGTGAATACATCTGTTTTGCACATAACATTGCCTTGCACATAGTAAAAAGGTGTGGAATAAATGAAGAGAAAATCACATGACTCTTGTTAAATTAGAAATGGTGGTCCTTTGCCCTGTAACACTATCTTGTCCAGTCACCATAGGTTTTCTCTTATTCTTTCTATGAAGCTAGTTTGATGGATTGATTAATTATGACTTGGGTGAAAGTTTACAGAGCAAACTTGTTTTCTGTTCAACAGTTCATACACATTTTGTTTCATGATACTGATTGCCATCCCCACAATGTAACAGCTCTTTTCCTACTTCCTCCCTGTGGTTATCTCCCTGTGTCCTTCTTTCCTATGCATTCCTGCCTTCTGAACTTTCTCCCTAAACCAGTGCTGCCCATCTGATGTCCCATGGTTGATTGTTCTAAGGAGTACACCTCCCTGTTGTAATTGTTCACCTCATAGGCCTGTTTGTTTTTTGGCTGAAAGTTAAGCCACAGGAGTGAGTTCAATTCCAGGCCTGAAGAGTGACTAGGGGCCTTAGTTTCCAGAGTTTCACCAGTCTCTATCAGATAAGTAAGCCTGGTCATATTTACGATTTTGAGTTTTGGTCCATATTTGTATCCCACTCTACCCAGGATCTCTCTAATTTTGATCCCTTTCCCATTGGTTGGCTGTGGTAGCCAGGCACCATCTAGTTCTTGTGGTCTCAGGGTCACAAAGGCTGAGGTTCTTATGGTCTTTTGGTCCTTTGGATGAATTATTTCTGTGCATCTTTGTTTTTTTCCCCATTCTTCTTGGCTCTGTTTGAGGAGAGACCAATTTTTGCTTCTTAGATGAGTTGGGTCAGACTTGATGGCACATAACAACAACAACAACAATAACAGATGGCTGTTCACAGGCTTTCAAAACCCCAGTTGTGAAACTGGTTCTTGAAGTTTATGAAGATTTTTAAAGTACAAATGACTCCTTCCCTCTACATTTGGGCAAGAAGCCAGGCTTGGGATGGTTTAGGATTGTGGCTGAGATTTACAGTTCCTCCCACATGCACATCAGTACCCCTGCCTTGAAGAAAGAGAGGGAGCTAGCTAGGACCTTCTTAGGTTTATGAATAAGCTGAAATGTTTCTATCTTTCCCATCCGTTTTTCTTTTCCTGTTCCTTGAGGCCTTCTTTCTTTTATCTACCTGGGTTGTGTTTTATCCAACCTCGAGTAAATGCTTTAAATGCTAAGAAAAAATTGCCTCTGAGTCCTCCTTCACCCACCATTCTTTTAGAATCCCTCCTCATACACTGCACTATAGCTCATATTCAGAAAGCAAGATGATTAGGGTAACATTAAGGTATAAATCATTTCTTTGGGGGAGTCCCTGGGTGGTGCAGGGAGTTAATGCACTCACCATCTAACTGAAAAGGTAGAGGTACTAGTCCTCCCAGAGGCACCTGAGAAGAAAGGCCTGGCAATCTGCTTCCAAATGATTATAGCCATCAGAAAACTCTGTAACACAGGTCTACTCTGACACACTTGGAGTTGCCCTAAGTCACTTGCCTATATGATAAACTAGTATGATATTCTTTTCCATGGGATTTTTGCATATTAACACAAATTAATTTTTGGTAGGTATATTAGATTTCTGTGGCTGCTATAACAAATTTCTACATGGTTTGTGGCTTAAAACAACACAAATTAATTATCTTCCAGTTTTGTGGATCAGAAGTCAGGTATTGATCTTACCAGACTAAAGTCAGGGTATCAGCAAGGCTGAATTCCTTTCTGGAAGCTCTAGGGGAGAAGCTATTTTCCAGCTTTTAGAAGTCACTCTTTTTAAATTTTTATTTACTTTTTTTTGAAGTTTTTATTATAATTTGGGTGAAAATTTATAGAGCATATCAGTTTTCCATTCAACGGTTGATACATACTTTGTTTCGGAACATTGATTGCAGTCCCCTTGATGTAATAGCACTCTTACCACTTCTTTCTGGGTTCCCCATTTCCATTTCTCCATCTTACCTGATTTCTGAAGTTTGTCTCTGGGCAAATATGGGCCTTTTGGTCTCGTGTGGTTGATTGTACTGAGGAGTGCTTTCTTCCCTGGTGTTTTTATGCACTTTATTGGCCTGTCATTTGGCTGAAAGTTGATCCCTGGGGGTGAATTCATTTCCAGGCTTGAAGGATGTGAAGCCACCCACTTTCTCTGGATTGTGACCCCCTTCTTCCTCCTCCAAAACCACAACATTGCATCTCTCTGACCCTTTGCCAAAGAGGCAAGGAGGCTGCATCTTCTGACCTCCTCTAACCCCACAAGAGGAAAACAGAATCATTATCAGTAGCCCAAGGCCTATCCCTGCGAGGCCAGACTTGCCACCTCCCTCCAACCTTTTCACCGACCCTGACACCAACCATTCCTCCAACAGCACCCACTACCTCTCTGCTGGGTTTGATAATTTGCTGCAGTAGCCACACAGAACTCTAGATTATTGGATTTATTAGGGAAGCCCCAGACTACATTTCAAGTTCAAAAATGCACTCAGTCTCTTGCAGCTGGCTGTCTCACTCAGCAGCCAACAGTCTCAGTAGCACATCGCTCTTTCAGTAGTGCGTGTCTCTCATGTCTCTCTCAGCATGTGTGTCTCATGTTTCTCAGGAGTGCGTTTCTCTCAGCAGCATGTCTTTCTCAGCCTGTAGTCAGAGAGATGACTTCTGCCTCTAGGAAGGCTCCTTTTGAACCTGGCAGAGTGGCCAAACTAACCAATCCCAACATCAGAATTCTATACACCTGAGAGAGAGCAAAGTTCCCAGAAGATTGCTTCATGCCACTCACAACAGAAATACCCCAGGTGGATAACTTTAAGAATCAGGAGCTACTCAGTTGCCCATGGCAGATTCCACCACAAAGTTAACAAAGCCTTAATGGCTAGAAAAGCCACACCATGTAATTTACTACACTGTACCCTTCTTTTGTAGTCTCATCTCCCTCTGATCACTGAAAGGAAAGATTGTCTGATATTGAAGGCCTACGTGATCAGATTGGGTTCACCTGGATAATCTAGTATAGTCCTCCTATCTCAGGGTCCTTAATCACATCCGCAGAGTCCCTTTTGCCACATAAGGTAATATATTTACAGGTTCTAGCTTTTAAGAATTAGGGTATGGACAGTTGGGTAAGTACTTTTCTATCTGCCACAGTAGTTTTTAGGAACTATTTGGGAGATATTTTTATGCTGAGGTTCTTGCTCTTAGCTATGCTACTGAACTTTTTTCCTCTTTATAAGATGATGCTATTACCTTGAGATAATCTTTAAACCTTAAAATAAAAAACAGATTAGTTTAACTAGTTTTTAAAAAAAGAAAAAAAAATCTGCCTTAACTATTATGCTCTTTTAAGAACAGTATACAGCATCAAATTGACAATAGCCACTGGAAAGATTAATAGGAACCTTAGGCAGCAGTGAGTCTATGTTAATGAAGGAGGAACAACTCAGAAAAGGAGGCTGAGAATGGTTGCACAGCTCAAAGAATGTCATCGATTTTGTCCCTGAATTGGTTGAATTGGTGACTATTGTGCTGTGTATATTCTCAATAAAGTTTAACAAGGAAGAAAGAGGAGAGTTGTGAGTCCATGTAGAAGGTCGTTTTCTTTGACATCTGTGCCCGTTTCCTTTTGAAGGGCAAATCACTGACTCCTTACATTGCTACTTGAGCTTAGCCCCACTGATCTTTGTCCTCATTGTTATCTCTAATGCTTTAAAGAGAGCCTATTCCACCCTAAGATAAGGTGACTTGAGTCTACCTTCCCTAATTCCTAACTGGGAGTTTTGCATACCTTTATAGTGGGCATGGGGAGAATCTAAGACACTGCAATCAAGCAGGCCTAGAGACCCTGGTTCCAGTGCCAGGAAGATTGAGAACAGCTTTGTGATTAGCTTTTGCTTAGTGCTAAATGGAGGTGTTTGGTTATGTAAAATAAAGATTACTGTGTAGCACTGTAACTCATTTGTGTATATATACATACATACATACAATTAATAAACCCCACATGTAGTAATGTATATACATACACATCATATATACATTTACATATATCTTAAATGCATACATTTGTCACATTTATTTTATTATATTTATGTGTGTGTGTTGTGTACATGCACTTAGGCTTTATGCTTTTATGCTTTGTAGAACATGTTTACAAGTTAAGAAGGAATGAAACAGAAATTGGAAAATAGAGATAAAAATTATGTCTCCTGACTGTGATATACTCCTAATTAGAGTCTTGAGAGAAGCAACTGATTTCCTAAAACTTCCCCTTGGAAGGTGCTTTACTATGCAAGCACTTCCTTTTGTGAGTCTCCCATCTTTACGTGTATAATAACACAAAAGTAAACTGGCATTTTGAGGGCTAAATGTATTGTGAAGTAGACTTAGAAGGGAAGGCTGGTATTTAATTCTTCTCCCATGTGTCTTGGTTAAACAAAAGACTATATTGTATTTTAAGCAATAATTTTGTGTCTTGATTTTACTTTGCAGAGTGTTCGTGATGGTCCTGCTTGGTGCTGGTGGGTCCTGGCAGTGTGGCCATTAGAAAACAAGGCTAAACTGGCTATCCTGGCCATGACCTCGCTGAAAGAGCGTCTGCTTGCCATTCAGCGTGTACTAGTACTTGCTACACGTATGATGAATAGTCCTGAAGAGCTGGCTGATACCAGAAAGAGAAAGAAGTGATTTTCTTTCTCTGTTAAGGCTTCTGGAAACCCTTGTATTTTTGAGTATGGGTTAGTAGCCATTCTGTCTTGCTTTTATAAAATGTTTTATGATAGGGTTACAAAATGGAACATTTACCAAACATTGATTCCAACTCAAAACTTAAAAGATTGTGCCTATAGAATCTGACCCTCTACAAGTTTAGTCTGAAATTTGGAGCCCTTGTTTGGAAAACAAGAAAATCTTTTCAAAGCAGATGCTTCTGGCTTGCTTGTTCACTTGAAAACACTGGAACATCACAAAGGTTTACATGTGGTTTGGGTTTTGCAAGAAAGAACTTCTTTTATAAGTATCTCGTTACTCCAGATGGAAACAGCATGTTATGGCTGGACAGTGAAAGGGAAGATATATTTTTATCTAAAAGCAGATTTTTCAGAGCACCGTCTAATAGAAAATGTTCTTAGTCTTTGTGTGTCGCTGTTGTTTGTGAAATTGAGAAACCAAACCATTGTCTAGTGAAAGGGCTGTAAATAGTTCTAACCCAAGAAGTAATAGCTAATGAATAGAACAGCATCCTATTGTTTAGTATCCTGTAGAAGTCCCAGATGTGGTAAATTACATGTTGTGATCAAATAAACATCAAACTATAAGAAGATATATGTTGGATATAGAAAAATCTAAAAATAGTATGGTTGATGTGAGGTTAAATATTTACACACACTCTAACAGAAGTGAGTTAATACTGCACATGCACTGGAGTGTTAAACATACAGTCAGACCAGTCCATAGAACACCTTGAAAGCATTGTTTCATTGATGCAGTGCATACTAAACATTTAGGAAATATTAGTCTTTTCTACCAGTATTTGCATTAGAAATTAGACCCCATCAGTAAACTTTAAGTTCATCATTTCAACAGCTAATACCTGAAAACATTAAAAAGCTGCTGTGGAATGGGGGGCTCTGTCTGTTCCAGGAAAATACACCAGAAGATAGATGAGGAGAAGGGTGGCTGATAGAGACTATAAATATTAAGCAAGTGTTTCTCCACATCAGCCTAAAACCTCTTTTTTTTAGAAAATTTTTTTTTAAGTTTTACAATTATCAGACCCATTGTTACATATTAAAGATGAGTGTAACCTCCAACCTCTAATGCTTATTGTGCATATTGATAATGCCCATTAAAATAACTGAACCTGAGGTGTATTGAACCATTCTGACTGACCTAACTGGCTGGTTCATGTGGTTGGATTGTTGGTTTATGAGGTAGATGTTCTTAACCTGAAAGAAGCCATAGACTAGAATATAAAGCAAATCACAAATACAAGTTTTGTTTTATTCATTTAAAATATGTGATTTTTGAGTTTTAAGAAGTAGATTTCATAATACCAGATGATGGTGGCTTATCAGGTCATCAACAGTTATAACGACATAATTGTATTTTTTTTTATTGTAGAAGTTTTCTGTAGTTAAAATTCAGTTTCATTGTGGGAGTTAGAAAATGCTGTACTTGTATACCTTATCTATAAAGAGAAAAATTTTAAAGTATTTTCCACTCAAAATTTTCAAGTGCCTTTTGAAACTCAACTCTGATCTTCAGCATGGTTTAAAGGTAGTTCAGCCAAGTGATCTCTGAAAGTTGCTTAGATTCGTGTATTAAAAACAGCATTTAACTTTCTCAGGCGTGATAACCCTGACCTAAAAGGAAACAAACTGCATCTAGAATCCCAGAAAGCCTGCCTTAGAACTGGTTCGTGGAAACTGGTAATGCATTCTCCATTTTCCTTCAGGAAATTATTTTCTCTGTTAAATTTATGTTCAGATAGTTAAAATTTCTGATTCCGTTTGGGGTGTCTAATTAACCCCACTGTACCATAACTTCTCCAGGTGCTTTCCTGAAGTTATGTATCTATGCCCAGAGTAAGAAGATTCCCTGTATTAGGGCCGTTCTCCTATCACTTGGAAGACTATCATTTTCTCTTCCTGTTTCTATCTGCCTCTTTCTGAGCCTGTACAAGAGCAATGATGCAGATTAGAGCAAGACAAGTTTTTTTTTTTTTTAATCCAAAGAAAATTAACTGTGACCACTCCATGCTTTGTTCACACCGCATAGTGTGAGGTGGGAGTAGCTTGGTACCTCCTGTACCCAACCAAGCTAATTGTATGCGTTTACAAACGTAAAAGAAAAAAGAACAGACTCTAGTTAGTTGGAAATCTAGCTAAAGCAGAACAGTCTTCATTTCTTCAGGAAAGTAATTTCTAATGATTTCTCAGAATACAATGCAATCTCCCATTCAACATCATGACACTGTAATTTAATTTTCTTGAAAGTGTTCTAATGCTAATATTCTAGTTACATCAGAACAGAAACAGAATCAAATTATAGTAATAGTGTGTGAGGGTGTAATCTTACCTCTTGAAGTTCAGTATACTCTGTTAGGTATTTTTGCATTGATAGCTTAAGTGGTTGCCTCATTATTCTGTCTGCCTGTACCTGTGAAATGCAACTGATATCTTGACTGGTAGTGTTCTGAACATAAGACATTTTCATCTAAAGAATTAAAAGTTAGAATATTTTTGCCATTCCAAGTGAGGAAAATAATTTCAAATGTTAGGGCCTATCTGTACAGTCACAATAACCAACTCTAGTACCAAATTCTGTAGTGTTATCCATTTTTATGATCACAGAGGTGTCCTGTCTTCTCTCAACACCATTCTCCTCCACAAAAACAAAAACCACCAAGACTGTTTTATAAGTTGTAACTCAATTCTAAAGTATGTCATCTTTCTGTAAGACTTTTGAATCATCAAGAAAAAAATAAAACTTAGAGATTTTAATTTTATTTGGAAATTGGCAGTTACTACAGTCAAACTTCTCTTGTTACTTGGCCTAGCCATATTACATAGAATTCATTGTAGTTTAAAAGTTGGTTTTTAAAAAGTATCCATTTGCTGCTGCTTTTGTGTTTTCCCCACCATTTAAATTAGTTAAATAGCACTCTTTAAAATCAAGATGCTGTCTCTTGGGGGAGAAAAATCTCCTCTCCAAAAAAAATGAATGTGAAAGATATGAAAAAAATAATAGCGAATTAGAAGAAAAATAAATGTGGGTGATTTGTTTAAAGCATGAGGTTTTATTGTGGCCGTGGAGGAAGTTCAGGAAGGTCACCATCTCTAAGAGAGAGCAGTGGCAGCTGGCAGAAGGGGGAGGGGGCGGTGTGTGCTTCTTGGTTCAGCACATCCCTACCTACTTAAGGGCCCTGTTGTTGCTATGGTTCTTCAAAATCTCATTTGCAGGGAGTTAGGTCTGAATGGGGTATAGTGTGGGCAGTTTGAATAAGAAAACACTGAACCCTGAATGTTGCAGAATATCATTTCCTATTTAATTCTGAGCTGTTGACTTCTGACTCATAGGAAAAGGTCTTTTCACCTTCATGTCTCATCTTCATCTCAACATTCACCTCTCAATTTAACTGCTAAAAAAGTAACATCAAAATTTTCTGAGTCCTTTAAAACAGCCTTAATATCGCAGTAGCATAAAAGCCTCAAGAAATTAAAAAATCACCACTGCATTCTGTAGAGTTGGGGATGTTAGTTCATGGTAGCATTCTGCCTGTGGTCTCTAGAAAAAGTTGGAATAGTTTTTCTCTTTAGAGGTACAGACCTGGGTCTGCACACTGTTCTTGTGGGCAGAAGCTCAGCAGTGGAATCACCTAACTTCATTCAGCAGAGGAAATGCGCCACGTAGCAGGGAGGGAGCCAGCAGAGCCCAGTGAGGCTCTGTTGGCATTTGGCAATGAAAGATCAATTCTAAATAATAACAGTGCACCAAGAACTTGTGTAATTCATGGGGCTGGATTGGCAAATGTGGACTTTTAAGTAGGAAAAGGAGTTTGCAACAGGAAGGTATCTCTAACATTTTCTGTTCAGGGATCTTTCTAAAACACTTTTTTTTGAACCTTTGTTATTTAGTATACTGTTAGGATACTGTTTTTCAAATTTTATACTGTTACCAGTGTGATTGATGACTGCCTTACTTTGGAAAAATTTAAATGCTGCAAAATTTTTGTTTTGTATTATTGTAGTGTTTGCTTTCATTAGAATTGTTATCTAATGTGACATTTGAAATAAAAAAAAACAGTGTTCTGCATGTTTTGTTTTGTTCTTGTTTTCGTTTTTTAAATAAATATAGGTTAGATGAAAGTAGTGTGTAGGATATGGAAGTATTCCAACTTTTATTCCAGTAATAGAAAAATAATGGAAGAGGAGGCTGGCTGTGGCTTATTGTTTAAAGTAAGTTCTAACCAGGGCAAATACAGATTTTATAGGCACTGAAGCTTGTATAGTTTTTTTGGGGGAGTGGAGAGGGAGGGGTGCTTGTTAAGGTATGCAAGATTACAAATACAGAATAAGGTGTGGAAGTGCATAATTATTTAGAATTAAAAAAAAAAAAAAAATTTTAAAAGCCAGTATGCCATACTTAGTAGCTCTGGTAGCATAGTGCCTAAGGCAGTTGACTGCTAACCAGAAGGCTTGCAGTTCAAACCCACCAGCCATTCCTTGGAAGGAACATGGGATAGTCTACTTCCATAGTGATATTGCCCCAGAAACCCAAGGAGGGGTCGCTATGAGTCGGTCCCGACTCGATGGCACATAATGGCAACAACATGCCATACTTACCACAAAATACAGAAAATTATTTTTATGAACTGCCTGGATATATTTATGATCATTTTTTCCTATCATTTTTATGGTTGCAGACTCTTTGATCCTATTTCTATGACAATTCTGTAATAGTGTAAGAGAAAACTTAAGTTTTCCCTCTAGTGTGGTGGTTAAAATTTTTAAGTTAAAAATTTCTTTCAATTTTAATACCATTTATATTAGGATTTTTGTAAAATTTGGGAGAACCTTAGGTGTCTTTCACATATAAGCTGTATGATGCAAGCATTTTTCAAGATTTCTTATTGTGGCTAATCTTAAATCCTCAGCACTGTCCAAAAGGACTCAGTGATGTCTGTA